CCCCAAAACCCCAAAACCCCAAAACCCCTGTAACTCAAATCAACGATAAACTCTGGATTTAACTAATCATGCTATTATTCAAATGTATTTAAAGCTATTTACATCTTGCTCATACTAAGCCTCAGAGAGACTAAGCTTTTTAAAAGGAGATTCTAGTTTGAGTTGGGGGATGCCCTACCCATCTTAGAGCTATCTCAGAGATATTTGCATCAAGTTTTGATTGATTTACAATGCTGTGCACTGATTCAGATATAATTATATTTCCTCGCCATTGAAACGTCTATACGTCCCGTACTTAGATTTATTATCAATTATAGTTAGGAATGGCCTCACTTTTTATACAGCTAGTGTTGCATGCTAGCGAGATATACTCTTATCAATAATTTAGATGTCACACTCCTTGCCTCTCCCCAAATCTATTTTATACCCATCTGAGCATTTATCCTTCATAATCACGTAAATCTCTTTCATTTCAGTTGAATTCTCCTCAGAACTCTTATAAATACTTTAAAGTATTAATGTTTATTCCCAATCTTAAACAAAGTTGTCCAACACTGAGTACTTAATACCACTTTGACTGTCTTTAAAGAAGCATTTTAGCTCCCCTCTGCACACAGTGCAGTAGTAGTGCTCTGATTTAATGATTAGAATGTTGAAATCTCTGAGTCATATATTAGCTTTCTCAAGAAGTCTGTTCTAGACACAGCTCAAGTGCTGATACTATATTTAGCCTCTGCATTTACAAGATTAAACCAAAAGGTTTTATATATCTTTCTATATTTTTCTGTCGTTTTACTCTTATTCTGGTGTGAAGTCACAGAACTTAGTACAGATGCTGCAATAATAGCGTGTAGCTAAATCATTAAAGTTAGTTTCAGGTTTTGATCTACTGCTGTACTTTAATTAGTTGTCTTCAGTCATAAATACTAGAGTAGAGGGGTGGTCGCTATAGAAATCAAAGTAGTCGAATGTTATTCTTCCAAATTTAAGTTTATCATTAGATTTAATTACAGGATTTGGATTTGACAATCTAAAACTCTGCCAAATCAAATTTGCATCATAGTCCTTTTTAATCAGGGTTAAGACAGGTGAGTTTTAATCAGTTGCTTATTGTCCTTTAACACCTAAAATTGGTTTTTAATTTCTTTAAATGTCTCTTGCTTAGGTCACTAAATCTTTCAGCCTAACTTCTTAATTCTGATTGAGATAGAATTCTTAGTAAACCTGAAGAACATTAGTAAACTAGTGACTGTTTGAAATGTAGTGATCATCAGCATCAAACTAATAGAGTTTGTCATTCTAGTCAGTTGATCCTCGCTTCCTCATGTCTTTATCAGCTTAGAATGCTCGGTAATGCTCTAATTTCACCAATGCTCTTTACATGTAAGTCTTAAATAGAAATAGATACATACACATAGTTATTTTTCTTAGACTGGTTTCTCTCCATCAAAACACAAATATATTTTCGAATTCAATTTGCAAAAAGGGTTGAAGTTATAATCTTAATTTAATTAATAATTAGATTTATTATAAAAAATAGTAACAGAGATATCAAATTACTTTGAATTCTAACTAGAAATGTCATTAAATTCAGATCATCACTCTATTGAACCAGATGATGAAATCTAGATGCACTTACTGCCACCAGAAGAGAAGCAAGAAGTTGAACTGATTCATGATCTTCAATATTCCTAGCTGAGCAGTAGCAATAGGAATTAACTTAACCTTGCTTTCTCTATTTCATTCGTCTAAGAAGTTGCGAGAATCTTAGCGAGCATGTACTTCACCTTTTACGCTTTACTTTCGATCCCCCTTATGGTCATTTACATAGTTTAGCTTACTCAAACCAGTCTTAAAGGTGAAGACTTAACTGAGGTAGACCACTAAATGCTGACTTTCATCAGAGCTGGAATGTTCTTCGTGTCTGCTGCTTTCTTCAATTACACTGTGCATATGTTTGTCATCACTTAGATGAGAGTGAGAAGGAAACTATACTTTGCTGTGTTCTTCATAATATTGATTGCTATCAAGGTACTCTATAATGTATGGGCTATTGAAGGCATTGTATTATACATGGGAGACATGAAGACTTACTCATCTGACATTAATTTTCATGTGTTTTCCTATGGGATTACCTTTTTGTCGTTGATTAATCTGATGGACATTATAAGACAAGGATCCATACTGTTATTTGCAATAGTTTTTCATATTACTTGTAAGATCAAAGCAAGGAAGTACAGACGGAGAGTGGTCGGAGATCCAACACTTTTAGAGGAATCTGGCTTAGGAAATGGCTTCTTGAAAGATGCTGAAAGCATGTATAGATACTTTGCAGTAAAAGATATGTATGAAAAGAAATAGGTTAGCAAGGTCTTTAAAGTTGTGAAATTAGTAGGGGGTTTAAGAAAGTCATTAAAGGAAGTATAGAACGAGAATGTGTGTCCAATATGCTGTGATTATATGGACATTGCTGTTTAAATGCCTTGTGATTTAAGGCATGTGTATCATTAAGAATGCATTTAGCAGTGGCTACAAAAACATCGTGAATGCCCTCTTTGTAAAGTGAGAGTTATCTGAAAATTCTTAGTAAACTTATTCTGGTCCTGACTATTGACAACGCCTACTGACTGGAATTTTAAAATCAATCAATAATAATCAATTTATATAAATTGTAATCTTAATTTCATAACATTCATCAATAAAGCTTACGATTAATTAAATCATCCAAGTACTTTTCATACTAACTCTTAAACTCTTTCAGCTTTGCCCCAGCAAAGTCTTTTTATACTTTAAGTATGCACTCATCATCTCTTTTATCTTTGGTGATACACTTTGACATCTAAGCATAAAGATCGTCATTGAATTAGTGATATGACTCAACTGCATACTATTGCTAGAACATTAAAGGTTTGTTGCATGTCTTAGTGCACTCATTGACTTTATCCAGGTCTTGAGTGATCTCTTCGTTGTTTGTGCATTTATTTACCTTGCAGTCTATTGATTTCCTCTAAAAATAGAAATTTGTATAAAAGTACAATGCATTTGAGATATTACAAAAAGTATAAGCCTAAGTCTACTTAAGTTAGCATCTTCTGTTAGGTAGCTATAAAGATGTCTCTCTAATTCCATTAATTGAATTGAAAAGGTTAATTATAATCACAAATTATTAAACTGATATTGAGGCTCAGAATTATAATTAAAATAATAAAAAGGAAAGAAATGCAAAATTTAAATTTTGGTTAATTGCAACAACTTCAGAGTATGATGGCACCATAGGTGAAAGCCTTGGTTGAGTTCAAAGCAGGTAAAATGACATTCGATGGGAAGATGGTCAAGCCAGATAGAAGACGAGGCATTATAAAAATTGTTGCTGATTAGTCTGGAATGAAGCAATTTTAGTTACTTGATGCTGATACCAAGACTTAAATAGAGAGTTTTTATGTTTTCCCTGGAGATGCAAAATTTGAGAAAGTAAAGTAAAGCAAAGACAGAGTCTATTTATTAGAGTTCTCAAGTACTTCGCAAAGACATTTTTACTGGATGCAAGAGGCTGATAAGGACAAAGATCAGGAAAGAGCTACTTAGGTGCACAATACTCTTAATAACATTTAAGCTGCACCAGCAACACAGACATAAGCTTAAAGTCAGCCAACAACAGCAAGCGGCTAAAGAACAGGTCCATCAATGCAGAGCTAGAATGCCTAGCAGCAACCTAGAGCAAATGCAAATCCAAGTCAGTTCGATGATCTAATGAGTTAATTATTGCAGTCAATGGGTCAAGGAGCCTCGTAATTCGAAAGATCGCCAGGTCTTGCAAATATCTTGACTACTGAGGGTATGCTTAAGTTGATTGAAGAAAATCCAGATGTAAGATAAGCACTAATTGAATAACTGCCGGAAGGCTAGCAAGACGAGCAAGGTCTTAAAGACAACATCTTATCTCCATAGCTAAGACAAGCATTAGGCAGTTTAACTCAAGCAATTTAAAGCGATTAAATTTCAATTATACTAGGATCACTAGGATTAGACTAATCAGTTTTGAATAACTCAAAAGATGGAGTAGAGGCACTTATAAATGCTCTTATTAAGAGACATTCCAAGAAAGATTGATCTAATCTATTATAAAGCGATAATAATTCTTAGCATTATTAATTTGTGGAATAGTTATTAGTTAATTCTTTTTATGACAAATTTATCTGATCGGGGTTTTGGGGTTTTGGGGTTTTGGGGTTTTGGGG